CAGCCAGGAGCGGGGCAGGCCAGGGGCACGGGGGCAGCCCCAGCCCCCCGCATCGGGCACCTCCCCGGGCACGGGGAGAGCTGAGGCTGGGACAGGACATCTGCCTTCAGCGGGGGCTGGGGATCAGGCCTGGTGGGGGGAACCAGGGCCAGGCCCAGCCCGGGATGGCCAAGGCATCGAGTCACAGCTCAGGAATTTGAGCACGGTTTTGTAATATCAAGTTCTAGGTCTTCTAATTTTGATTGGGTTGGAAAGAGGTATTTTTTTTCCGTCTTTTGTTGGATTGTTAGGAATTCCCGTTACTTGTCCAGTTTAACAATTCTGTGGGTAGACCCAGAAACACCAGCCACTGGAGAAGTGCTTACACAAATTAAGAAACATCAGCCAAGGCAGCAATGAGCACAGTAAGTTTTCAGATTTGGTGCTTCGCTGCCGATGTCCAGTGTGGAAAACCCACGCACGACCTTCCCCTCCTCTCCCCTTCTCCCGAGCCACGTGAGGGATGCACCATTCTCACACCCCTCCGAGCCAGGGTGGCCGTGGTGGCACAGGAGCAGTGCCCACCCTCGCCAACGAGACGAGGCTCAAGGCTGGGCCTGAGACAGCATTCCTGCTGGCAGTCTGAGACAAGGCAGATGATTTCATCCGAACGTTTTAAGTGTATTTGGACAAATCATTCTTGCCCTGGAAATACATTATACTAATGAAGTTATGCTGTCAGCCATTGCAGGCCTGGCAGGAATTACAAACTATTTTAATTCTCTAAGAACACATTTGCCCAGCCAATAACTTGACTTGTCATTAGTAAATTCCTAGCTCTGCTTTTTAAGATGGCAACGCACACAAAAAATATCTATCTCTAGGTTATTGATTCCTATCATGATTGCATCAGATTTCTTCTAAGGTCTGTAACAAATTGATCTATGGGCTGTGTTTTCCCACCTGTGTACTGGAGGTCTATAGGTTTTAAGGAGGGCTTTTTAGAATAATGCAGCAGCTTGTTGCTTTGATTTCAAAAGAGCATGGAGCTTGCCAAATCTCTTCAAAGGGAAGGGGAAAAAAAAGGCAATTTGTCCTTGTAAATGCTGATGCAACATGAGAATAGATCTGTGGGCCTTGTAAATACGATGCTTAAAGAAGTGGTCCTCTGTTGTGTGCTGGGCTGCTGTGAGAGGAAGAGATCAGTCCAACAGAGAGTCAAATTGCAGCTCAATATTTCTTCTTGGCTCAGACTCTCTACTGATCCTGGGTGTCACTGTCCCTAACCAAAGCAAGAAAAATAAAGACATTTTCAAGAACACAATTCAGCATACCCAGCTACATGCTAGACAGGTTATTCTGAATTTGTCACCCTATATCGTCTTTCTAGTCAGTGGAGAGAAATCCAGTAGATGTGTCATCTGATCCATTTTAAGCATCTTTGAATGAGAAGAACTGCTCTCTGAAGGTGTCTGTTTTTTCCCATTGACTACACATGGAATATATAGTGATTAGCTCAGACTTAGATGTATGACTTTTAAACCCCAAGCTGGACCAGATGATTCCCATGTTTGTATTTCTTTCTTTTTCTCTTCTGCTCTTTTTTAAAAGATGCCTCAGTAACCTAATCATCACAGAACAAGCCAAGGCAGCACACCCTTGTTGCTTCATCCTTCCCCCAAAATAACCTTTCAGCTGTGCATGATTTCTCTGCTCCCCAGCCTGTGTTGCTCCGTTACACCACATCATTCCTAAGCAGACTCCCCGGGGGACACTTGCTCGTTGTGAGGAGGGATCAGATAGCTGCGGGAGGAAGCACCCGTCGTGCAGAGCGGTGTGGGAGCAAGGCGTGTCCTCGGCCACACCTCGCAAGGGGTCCTTCTCTTTTCGTGGCTGACATTTTTTCCTTTGACAAGATTTGCACAGCAACTGGTGACACTGCTGAGCTGTGCTCATTAGGAAATACTCTGACATTAATCTTTGCTGGCAATTCTTTTCAGTGAGATGCAGCAGCCACAGCTGTTAAGTTTCTGCACCAGCATAGCACCAAAGTTATTAATTTTGATTATAAAACAAAAGAAAACCCATTTGATTTAGGTCAGGCTTACTTAGGCTGATTGTGTTTCTACCAGTTGGCTTCCTTCCAGCAGTGGTGTGTATATCTTCGTATCACTTTTCAGCACCAGAAACATACTATTCTCCCCACTTTACAGATGGGTTCCTGAAATAGACTTCATCTTCTCCCAGGCAGCAAAGGGAAGGGTGAGGAAGCTACATGGGAACCAGAGCGTAGGAACTTTACCAGACTGGAAATGAAGCTCTGCTGCTTCCATCAGGGAAGACAGCACCAAAGAAGTCTTTGATATGGAAACCTGATGGAGTAGTGGCGATCTCCAAATATGGGTGAGGCCACAGCAATGGAGCACTCCTAGCTGCAAAATTTGAGGAAACTGCATTGCCTACGCCTGGAAAGCCAGCTCTAACTCAGGAACTGCCCAGGTCCCCCTGGGCCTGAGCACAAGCAGCTGATGAGCCTCTCCCAGATAGGTGCACTGAAGCATCTGCAACAAGTCAGTACGGTGTTCTCAGTCCTCTTCTGTCCCTGGTTATAGCAGGCAAAGGAACTTCAGCTGCGAGTAGTCCCCGTCAAATAATCTGCTTTTCTGAAGGGAGAAGTGGAGATGCTCAAACCGGTCCTGGGCTAAGGGCAGCAGACTAGTGTCCTTCTCAGTCCTCAGCTCTATACTGTGGATCGGCAATCACAACTCCTGTTACCCTGTTACTGCCACCAGGCATACATCACTTTTCTCATCGCTATCAGGTGATGTGCCAACACCTCTGGTCACGGAAAGGATGTCCATGGGAAATTTCTATAAAATAATGGCAAGGGCACAGCTAAGCCATCTAGCTGTTAACCTGTTCCTCCAGCCAGAGGACGTAAAACACACCCAGATTCTCCTTCATGAGAAAACCTGTGGAGTCTTGACAGTTTTTTAAGAGGTTGATGCCAGCTACACAGAAATTGCCACTTGGAGGACAGGGCTGTGGTGGAAGCCACCTGTGTGACAGGCAGCACCTAGAATGGCATCAGCAGTTAAACCCATTCCAACAGCTCAGCTGTTGGTGGTTCTTGCTGAAAGGACCGCACAGCCTGGGTGAGCCCTTTCTGTGGAGCGCTGCATCGGTTTGCACACAGAACCAGAGGGAAAGCTGGGTCCCACCTGCATGCTGCTCCTGTAGATGTGAGATACTCATTTGGGCTCTACGTGGTTCTTAGTCAGTCGTTTATGGCTGTCCTGGGTTGAGTGAGTGGTGGGGTTTTTTGGTGGCAGGGGAGGGGGCTATCGGGGCGGCCCCCTGTGAGAAGCTTCTCGAAGCTCCCGCAGCTCCATGTCAGCTCCACCTCTGCACCAAAACTGAGCCCATCAGCTGCGCCTCTGCGATAACGTATTTAAGAAGGGACGTGGTGACGTGCAGTGGGACTTGTGAGGAGGAGTTGCTGCAGCTGCATGAACACCAAGGTCAGTGGAGGAACGGAGGAAGAAAGGAGGGGGGAGGTGTGCCGGAGCAGAGACCCCCCTGTATCCTGTGGGGAGATGGCAGGGCGGCCCCCCTGCCACCCATGGAGATCTACGGTGGAGCAGACACTGATTTATGGCCTGTGGCTCCTGCTTGGTATAATCAATGTGCTGTGCCCGAAGAAGGCTGGGGTCTCATGGGAAAAGGCAGCCCCGCTGCTGTAATTCAGTGCTGGGAGGATTGCAGCATGCGGGGGGTCCCACGCTGGAGCAGCTTGGGAAGGGCTGCAGCTGTGGGAGGGAATCCAGTCGGAGGAAGTTAGTGACCCATGACGGAGCAGTGTGGGGAACGCTGCGGCCCGTGGGAGGGACTCATGTCGGAAAAAGTTTGTGGAGGACTGTCTGCTGTGAGAGGGGGACCATAATGGAGCAGGAGGAACAAGTTCCAGAAGCTCCCCCCACCGAAGATGAAGGAAGCAGCAGCACTAACTGCACCCCCCATTCCCTGCCCCTGCGCCACTGGGGGAGGAGGTAGAGATATCGGGAGCAGAGCTGAGCCCGGGAAGAAGGGAGGGGTGGGGGGAAGGTGTTCTCAAGATGTGGCAATGCTTCTCACTGTCCTACTCTGTTATGTGTTGTTAGTGTCTGTAATAAATGTATGTTCTTTTTTTTTCTTCCCCTAACGAGTCTGCCTTTTGCTCGTGATCATAAAAGGGGGATTTTTCCCCTCCCAGTCCTATCTCGAACCCCAAGCCTGGCTCTCTGTCCCTTCTCATTGCCGGAGGGGAAGGGAGAGAGAGCTGCTGCATGGTGGTTGGCTGCCAATCAGGCCTAAACCACGACAATGGCACAGACTAATGAAGTGCAGGAGAACTGGATTCCAAGCCGTAACCTACAAGGAACTACATACAATGTTTGTGTCTTTGGGAGAGCAAGTTAAACTGATCTGCCAAGTTAAACAACATACCCTGAGCTTTGAAAAGCCTCATTACCCCGTCTAGAGCTGTCTGCCATTAGTGTGACACCTGTATGTAAAGAGATAAAACTGTTGCCATTAGCTGTGATTTTCACCCAGGCACCTCTGCTTCCAACCAGAGTTAGTTCAAATTACTGTTTACGTTTGACACCAGTCAGGCAGCAACAGCAGAAGCTTAATAACATAGATTTGTTTATTAATTTATTTTTTTATTTGCTTGCTACTGTGTCTGCATCACACTTATAAGAATGCCTCTGCAGCATCTTCCACTACTGGAAATGTATTGAGACTAAATTATACATCTCATTTTTACCAGCGGAGATGCGATATCATAGCAATCAGGGAAGCTGAGAACTGTACCACCTAGTCAGATATTTATATGGAGAACCCATTAAACAAAGTATTTAAGCAATGAAATATCTTGCTTATTGTTAATAATATCCTGAATATGAGGAAGCTCATCACTCAAGTTCTCTGGAGTCTGTGGTTACACTGCATAATTACATAATAATCAACCACACAGTCAATGCCTATCCAGTAAACATTTTAATTTCATTCTGTCATAAAGGAATACAGTGATGCTATACTGATTTATTGAAAAGAAAAATCACAACTCACTAACCTCTTAAATCATGAGACTTTTTTTTTTTTTTAAATAAGTTATTTCAAGAAATAAGAAATGTTTGCTTACCAGCATTTGATTTTTTAAACTCATATTTTCCAGCAACAGTACGCGTAAATAATTAAAATGCCATTGTTACCTCAAAACAATGATTCATCTGAAATCAGTGGAATTACATGAGTAACCACGTAAGGGAAGAATACTCTCAAGTCCCAAGAGTTAGGATATCAAATTTCTTGGTCCATCAATTAAAGGCACTTACACTACAACCAGTACATCTGAAATCCCAACTGCATTCTGTGCTGCAGGAAGAAGTTTGGCCGGATTCAAACCTTCAGCTCTAATCCTATCTTCCTCTGACATTTAGCTCCAGTCACCCACTGACCCCAACTGCCAGCAATTCAGTTTCCCACTTTTATCTTCAGATTTGTCTGCTATTTAGAATATGATGCACAGAGGCTTCAGAGGAGACAGAATTTACCTTCTAATGGTTAGCAACATTACAAAAGATCATACCGTCATGAAATCAGGGAAAAAACAGACATCACTACACTCCCATCTCTAATTTAAATAAATCTACCTCTGATTCAGTCTTCTATGCCTAAAATGAGAATAATAACACATACTGTGCTTTGAAGGATTAAATACTCCTAAGTGTGCTGAAATATTCATATAGAAGATACTGTGTAAAGGCATGTAACTGTTCATTGCTGCAAATGTAAATAAATCCATTTCACAGCACAGCATAATAGTAGTGAGAAAGGCCCATGTGAGATAAATCCTGGAATTTCAAAACACTCATCCATCCAAAACCACCAAAACCAACCAAACAAAAAAATTCCAGTGTGGTTTGGGAAAACTAGCAGTGTAAAAGTTCTATTCAGGTCCAAAGAAATAACATAACACTTTTGAAACCCAAACCTATTTTTCTGTTGTTGCAAAGAAACTTGAGTCATCAAACTTAATCATCAGGGTGCCCTTATTTTCAGAAAGGCAGGAGGAAAATGAAATGCCAAGTAATTTAAGGAATAAGAGTACAGAACTATAACCATTTTGCACAGAAAACATTACAGCTGGACACACAATTAGAATGGTCAAATGTGTTTTAGAGCCTAATTATCATACTACTGAATTTCAAATCCTGAGGTCATTCCTGGCAAGCTGAAACAGAGACTTAAGTAGGACATAGTCTGCTCCTCTCCTCAGGTCATTACTGTACCAAGATGTACCCATAAATATATCTTCTTGGCCTTCAAAAAAAAGTCTCTTTTAAGTCCTCATTGAGGACTACCCATGAGGAAAGTGTCCACATCTCCTGCTGTGAATAAATGCTGTTCTACCATATTTGTGCAATGTTTCCAGTTATTTTGAGGTGCTACAGGGACTGGACTTGAGTGCATTAACTAACATTTGATTCAGAGACAGCAGTAGTAAATGTCTGATGCATGAATCCAAGAACTGGATATTCTTCACTACTGCAGATGTCCCTTGTCTGTTATGCCAATAGGACCGTTATGGTGATTTTTTTTCCTCCTCCTCCACAATGACAAATGCCAGCACAATCAAAATTTGGAAATTTTCCATGTGAAAAATAGGAACAGAAGAGTGTTAACCTAATCAGCTGTGCTATGTTTTCAACTGTGACTGTGAGGAAAAAACTGGCCAGGCAGAGCACCCTGCTTATGAAAGAATGATACCAGGTGCATCATGATAACATTAAAAATATCTGTAATATATCTGATACTAAGAGAAAAAATGAGGTTTCCATATTGAATATGCTGGACAATACTGTAGGTCTTCTTTCTCTGCATTTTAGAATGACATCATTGATCTTTTTGTATGAGTTTAATTACAGCCTCACTTTCATGCTGCCAGTAAAAAGGAGCTCTTGAAGTGGCAAAAAGTTTTATTAGATACTGCAAAGAGCGAGGTATGCTCTTAAAAATAATAAAGAGCAGTCAGTCAATCACATTTGCTCTGACAAGAGCTTTTAAGATGTAACCCAGAGGCTTGAAGCTTCATTACCAAAACATTTTTCCTGTTGCCCCTTAAAAAAATTCTCCTGAAGTTCATTGACTAAAATGTAAGTAAAGAAACTGCAAAAATAATTGTGTGCTTAAGAATAAAAATACAAAGTAGTTCTACTTTCACTGAAGAAATGAGTTTAAAGACAGGCACTATTTTGGACCCTAAAAATACATGGATCAGTGCCACTGGAGAATAGACAGAGATTTTTATGGAACCCGACTGAGGACTCAAATTTCAAATAGCAACATACTAATATCAGGAAAAACAGTACATATATAGTGTTTAAAAGAATCAATTCCTCCACAAAATAGGCTCTGAAGAATCCTTAATAAAAAGTGTTCAATTTTTCTCATTTTTACCCATTACTGGTGCCTAAAGGAGCTGGAAATGGTGCTGCGCTTCTAGACCATGCAGACAGAAAATGATGGTCAACACAGGACCTGTGGCAAGCCAGCTTTTTAAAAAGTTCAATTTGGAGGTGTTTTGTCTTCTCTGCTAGAGTAAGAAAGCTCATGGAGTATAAAATAACTTACACTGTAAAGGGACTCTATGGTATCATGTAAGAAATCAGACTGGCTAGTAAACTATGCTGTCGTCTTTTTAAAAGCAAATGAAAGTATGTTCAGCTGCACCAACATCAGGCTGCTTCAGAGTCTCTCTGCTGCCTGTACTGAATGGGGATGTTCTTGGGTGGAATTTTATTTGAGATTTACTGTTTTGGGTGGTGAGATAATACTTCAGGTTACATCAATCTGCCCTTTTCTTCTTGGTTGAGAGGTCAAAAATGTTAGAAGCTTGCTTGTTTACAGTGGCTGCTGTGCAGTCAAAGGGTTCAAGGATCTACCTAGCATAGAAAGACATTAAATGTTGTCTAAGGCTTCCAACTCCTTGACACCCAGAATCATGGATGAGAACCAGAATGAAAAGGGTCAGAGATCACCAGCACAATGATGGCAACTAGAAGAACAATTCCATTAGGCAGAGGAACACTTACATTAAGGCTGCCAAAAAGACATGCCAAACTAGGTTTGGTATTATAATAAAGCACAAATACATTCATTTTCAATTTAGAAACTTTCAGCTAAATTAAAAATTTTAAAAAGTCATTTGACGTTCTTGGCATTAATATTAAATCAGTGCTTTAGCTTTGGAAGCTGCTTCACTCCTATAGTCTTTTTAATCGATCCTTTTTGAGGATTAACCGTCTTCGGGTTTCCTGGAACACTGTATCTCCCTCTGAAATAAGATGGGTGAAGTTAGTCATCAAGTGTCACATTCCCTGTAAGCTTTAACTGCTAGAAATTTGCATGCATTTTATATTAGCATAACTGATTACTATTGTGAATTAATAAACCTGAGAGAGGAAAAAATCAAGTATATTTCTGGGTTTGCAGGCTAGCAGAGCATCTAATTATTCTGCACACAAACTCAATCCTCCTCTCATCATTCCTGACTATTTCCTGTTACCTAAATAATGGCATTTGAAGAACATGAACAGAATACTAAACACTTGCACAAAGGGAAATGATGACTGGCCAAGGAGACATTTTTATCGGTTGCATCATCTCCATTAGGAAATGGAGAAACACTTCATGTAGTTACAGATCTCTGCATGTATTCCACTCCGGAGACCCACACTCTTGAGCCCATGACCTTACAGAGGAAATGCTGCCAGCAGACTTCTGAAGTGGTACTCATCATGGATACGTACACCATCTACAGGAAACGTATCAGAGCTGCTTTCATCCTGATTTTCTAAGAGAAATCAGTGGGAATGTAACCAAGCCTCTGGCAGGGGAATGGTGATTCCACAAACTGGAAGGGTCATTCTCATGATCAAGAAGCACGCATCTCTACTCTTAGGCAGCGAACATTTGTTTCTCTCCCTGTTCATTACTACAGTGGACAGAACAGTACTTTACATACTCTAACGACAACATGAAGGGTTTCAATGTTTTTCTCAAGTAATAGACATTCTGAAGGAAAATATATCACAACATTGCATAATTCATTACGGTAGCCAGAGAAATACTTTGTTATGCAGTAGAAGCTGTGATGACGTTCCGTGCAAGTTTCAAATTTCTGGGCAAGCAGCCAACAGGCGTTGTCCCTAGGGCTAGCTAGTCTTCTTGAGACTCACACTTCCTGTGTTCCAGCTCTTACAAGCAGTCATGGTCTTGAAGGAAGAGCTGCCCCCATACAGATATGGAGCAACTTCTACTCAGAGTTTGGAAGATCAGAACCCAAGGCCTCAATTTGCTCAATGATCAATTGATTATTCAAAATCAAATCAACCGATTATTCAAAATCAGTTGATCAACCTGCAGATCACCATAGAGCTGGAACAAGCAGACAGTGTATGTCTGTGGAATTCTGCAGGCAGCAAAACCTCTTTCCACTCAAAACTAGCTGAACCTATGGACTTAGAAGCCAGGTAGCTGTAGTCAGTGCAGTGTTGCAACTGAGCTAGTAACTCCTGCTACATCCTTCAGGATAACAGTAGGGGCTCAGAATGACATTACATTGGCTGCTCAGATTGCATCAGACATGAGTCATCAAGATATCTACGTTTTTCCTAATTGTCAGCTAGCTTATCTTCTTCTTGTCCTGTGAAATACCATAAAAAGGACCTCTACTGAACTTGGCTTCTGTGTTTGAGTGGCCAGGAAACTGAATGAATCAACAATTAATGTTCACAATTACTATTCAAAAATGTTTCACTGATGCTTTTTATGTACAGGTTAAGTTTTCCATACCGATACCTATAGTTTAAACAAACATTAAGCATAGTTTCTTGGTATGGTTTGAAATCCAATGAAGGCAGGTGTTTTCTGAAAGGCCAGAAGAAGTGAGATAAGAACTCTGGACAGAAAATTTTCAATTATTCTCAAGAACACGTTTATTTTCAATCATGTAGGTCTTCTCTTATTTGAATGAAATTATTTCTCATTAACGTCAGCTTGAATGAACAACCTTCAGGCTGTAAATCAAAACATAATTAAAAAGGAATAATATATACCAATGGCTGTGTTAACCTTGTGATGATCAAGGAGTACTTACTTACATTCTAGTATTTCCTTAAAATACAAACTATGCCAAATCCCCCATCCTCATCTCCATGTTGCCAACTAAGACCAAAGTTTGACCTGAAAGTTCTAAGACACTGGTTATAAAAGCCAATGCTTTGCAAACTGGGTCCATTGCTACTAAGGACAATTTAAAAGATGAACAATTCCCTTCATGTGCATAAAGCACTTTGAAAAGTTAAAAAACCCCAAACCTCTGAGGGAAAATGGGTTGAAAGGGGATATTTTGTTACAATATGCATCTTCTGAGACCAGCAATTACAGGACACTTTTTTTTTTTTTTACACTTTATTTTCTTTTGTTTGATATAAAGAAAATTACAGAAACACACTGTCATATAATTTCAGGGTAAAGCAACGGTCTACTAAAACAAATTACCAAAAAAACCCAACATAATCACAGATTGGTGCTAACCCTCGGCAAATCTCAATATCTGGCTGATGATATTTAATCTCCCAGCAGAGACAGCGAATTCTCCTAGTTCTAGCTTCTTGACCTTCTCCACATGAGCGATGTTAAACATCACTGGGGCCAGAAGCAACACACTGGATTTATATGGGCCACCTCAGACCCATACACTGCTTTTTCTGTACTGAAAAATTTCAGTTATAGACTTTAATTCATATTGTACTATATTAATTCATATTCTACTAATATCCACTCCTGGAGCACGAAGATCCACTGTTCTGATTTATAAAATCCTGAGGTTCTGTGCTTACACAGAATGAAAGGATAAAGCTGGTAAGCAAATATGTCTACACAATTTCATGCTTACAATTTACTCATTACATTTTCAAATGTTCCCAATAAGTATTGAGTATGTTTATTTTAATAATGTAGGTAAGTGGGTTCATGGAAGAGTATCTACTGTGAGATACTAAATACACAGAAAGCACACTGGCGCAGGAAGTCTCCAAATATAAAGTATTTGGGAGAGTTCCAAAAGCAAATATTGTATCTGCCTGCACACTTCATATTATATCAGCCCACACAATTTTGTAGGCATCTACTTATAGCCACTGGAGGTAGGATACTGGGTCAAACAGACTTTTGATGTCATTCCCTATATTCTTCATTCTTTATACTCTTATCGTTTTCAGTTCAGTTAAAAAATAAATCTCCTCCAATTTCAAGCTTTCTCACAAGCTTTAATTTTATTTCTATTTAGCTCAGAGCAGGTGGGGTCTTTTCAAATTTAAATTTCTAGACCATAAAAATAAACAGAAATCTGTTACACGATGAAGGCTTTATATATTGTTATCAAAAATCACTCACAATATCATCCACAAAAAGCTTTACAATTTCTATTGGCTGAAAAGGACCAAGCAAGGTTTTTATTTAATTGAATTACTCTTAGTGGACTAAAGGGTATACTTGTTGCTCCCAACTCCAAAGTAATATAGAAAAAAATTATTAATTTCAAACACAGGTTGAAAGGGAAGAACATCAGAGGTATTGGAAGATTCCAAAAAGGCCACTTAAATACATGTATTTTCAATATTGCAACATACTTAGTACTAAATAAAACTGCTTGAAAAAGCAGTATCAAAAATGACGTTGAGATTAATACTTTGTCAGTAGGATTACGCTCAGTGATATTTACCATGAACAGAAAGTTGCAATATTCAAAACATAATACTTATCAAACAATAATAAACCAGAAAACAGAGAGAATATAACAGAAATTTACCTCAGTATCTGGTTTTCTCCCTTGCCTGTTAGAGCGTCTGTTTTTTGCCTTTCAACAATTTTCACTGTAGCTGAGGTCTGCAACAGCCAAATTTTTACAAAGCAGGTTAAATCCTAACCACAATCACAGTTAAGGAAGTAAAATACTTCCAAACTAATTTTGACCTGCTAGGGTCTTAGTGATATAAAATACTTCAAGTACAGATTATACTGATACCTTGTGGATTTGGGTAATTGAACACATGCCCAAATCCCTTGCTGTGCAAAACTACCATTATTTATTAAGATGGACGATCAGAGAACACGTAATTTCAATCAGCGTATTTTTGGTCATACTGCCTATAACTCCACATTTGCAATGAAGCAGCATTATATTTCTAACATACTTCCCTGAATGAGAAACAAATCAAACTAGAGTCACTTAGTTGTACTTTTGAATGATTAAACCATTAATTAAGAACAGGAAGTACTTTAAAAAAAATTAACACAGTATGGACATCTCTGCATACTCTGAAAGTCTGTATTACTGGATACACAGAAAAAAACCCAGTCGCTACCCTTGGTATTGCATTTAACAGAATCTGAGCAGGATTAAATTAGCGGTTTTCCTATTACTTAGCTCACAGGGCTTCCTTCTCACTCAGCACTTGCTGGATCATCCAGCTGCCTTTACTAGAGCTACCTCTCAGAGGGACAGCTATACCATGGACAGAAAACCAGGTAACGCAGGAAGTTTAGGACTGGTCTGGCTACTGTGCACACTTGGGTGTTTAGTGTAAGTAAATGGAATTTTCTCAGCCCCTTTAAGCAGATCCATCAGGAACACGTAATAAATATGTGATAATCATGATATATGAATTATCAGCTACACCAGACCAGTGAAGGCTTTCTGAAAGCCTAGAGCTACATTTTGGGGCTACCTAAGTAACCATCCAGGTTTGGATTATTACACTGTATTACGTAACAGCATTACATTTTACAGCATGTGTGAAAACATCTTGCATTTGTGAGAAAAAAATCTGGCACTAAAAAGAATCATGTATCTCTGCTTATAAGACAATGGGTTCTACTGTGCTTCCACGTATACAATGCACTTGGCAAGGTCTCCTGGCCCAGTCATAGCCAAGACAGCTATAACTAAAGCAGAGTCCTTTCAGAGAGCAAGCGTAAAAATGGAATAGGATCTGCATAGATTTATGTTTTTGAAGGCAAGAAATATTTTGCACTCAAGGAACTACGGTACAAAAGATGATGGCTAGTATAATTTATCATCTTTCTGAGCAGATGTGATTCTGTGACACAAGGCAAGACCTATGCTACAGTTGCCTTCACTGTTTTTTCAATACATATGACTACAGAGTGCCAATATGATTATTATCCATAGCACTGTTTTTGCCAGTACAGTTTACTCCAGGCCTATCCCAACTAAAATGAGCCATTGTTGCACAAGCAGCTTTCCAGCTGTAGCTACTTATAACTGTGGGCTTTTTCTTCAAAGAAGTCCCAATCACAAGTCAGACTCTACTATGCTAGTAAACGTCTGTGGTAAAAATCTGGCCTGAAAGAATGGCCCTTTTAAAGATCTGCTATCGTTATTCTTTTTCTGCTTTTCAAACAGAATTCTGAATACCACCAGAAAGTGCTTTGAGATTTGTGGAGTCCAAATCCCAAACCAACATTTTTTCAGACTGAAAACAAAACAAAAATGCAAACAAGATTACACCATAAACCATTGGTGCCTCTAGCATGAGTTCTCAAGTTTGTGGAATCTTTAATTTTAAAATTGACTATATCCTTATGGATCCAGCCAGGACAAACAACAAAAAGCACTCAGAAGGTACATATGCTTTGTAAAAAAGCAGAAAAGCACTTGATAATAAAAAATGGTAAATAAAAGAAATGGCTGCTCAGAAGCATTTCTCTTCTGCTTCTGCCGCAGGCTTCAGGAGGCATCCAAAACAAAGCAGAATAAACCCCCAAAACATCTGGAATTTTTTAACACCTACCAGTAAAAACCTCCATTCTATGATTATTTTTTTTTACTGTGAACTACAGAAAAGCACAAACATAATGAGGAAAAAAAGGCCTAAAAAGACATTATATCCATTCTCTGTAACTAAGAGAGTGTCACTGGAATACATTGTCACAGGATAACAATATCCTGTAGTATATTTATTTTAGAAAGTATGGAAAATGTTAGCCTATGGGTAAATCTTTGTAACTCAACTGCTGCCAACATTACTTTGCAGTCTCTAGAACTGTGAAATTTTAATATAGCTGAAAGAATCTGGACTGAATATAAGTTTACTTCTGCCACTATTGTTAAAATGTTCTGTTAAAAGGGATTTTAAAATAATACCAAAGTAACAATCAAATCAAAGTCACAGCAGAACAGGACCTGAAGGAACCAGATAAACAACTGATTCTTTTGCAATCAACAGTCAACTGTGATTAGGTTGACTGCCATGTTTGGGTTTAGCGACATAAAAGGTAGATGCCCAGTCTAAACTACTCACCTAGGCTCTGCTTATTAGCTCAGGGACAGATAGGTCCCTGGGAAATTGATTTCATCTTGATCTAAAATAGGTGTGATGACTTGCACCTTATCCATGCTTCTCTCTCCATAGGTGATAGAGGATCCCTCTACAACTACTTTCAATTGGCTGTTTAACATGCAGAGAACTAAAGAGAGGGAGATTAATCTGAATATGCTTATTTTGCTCTCATATGACTCTGAGACCATGGGGGGCAAGTAACTGATTACTGAAAACATAATGTACTAACTACCTTGAGTGTTGGTGGTAAAATCCTAGTCCCTAATGCCCCATTTAAGCAACATCCCAATGCATATACCTCCCTTCAAATAATGTTTTATGCATATTTAAATGCTTTTCTAGGCAGCTGAACATAAGCACGCCTCTTGCTAGCATGTTCAGTAATAAAATCATCTTTTATTTCCTACCCTCTTCCTCCAGCAGTACCCAGTTTCACTGTTAACGCAAAGTTATTAACAGTTATGGGCATTTCCTGGGCTTTTTCTTGGTTTCATGCTGGAAAGTTAGTTTAAGCAATTCTTTCAGAATTCCCAAAGCAGCAATGAACCACATAAAATAATCAGCTGCCCACTGTGCAAACACATGGAAACACTGCTAATTACAGCCTTTCACCCCAGTTAGCTACAACAGGGATTCAGTGACAGCCATTCTTGAGTATCACACTCAGCTATTACTTTTACATTATTCAGGAAGTAAGAGATTTTACACAATAAGAAGTAGTAGAAATCTTTACAGGTTCCTCCAGTTTGTAGTATCAGCTTTTATGTATTACATAATTTACAATAATAAAACTTAACTTCTGATTTCACAGAAAAAAAGGTATCTTATCCCGTATCTTATAAATTCAATTGAAATATGTGCTGTATTGTCATTCTGAGCTGGCTGGCTAGTTTGTCATTAAAAGGAAAAAGGGGAAATATGAAAAAGAGGAAATGCTCCTTAAGGTGGGTTTCACTACTGCTAATAATTTGGTTCTGTTCTTTTCAACAGTCTTGTGACTAATGTCAGCAAGTATCAGAAAACTGCTTCAGCTTTCTCAACTGAGGGCACTTTGACTATCCTTGTGAACAATGAAACTTCAACTGATACAAAAGCAAAAGAAGTATTTAAAAGTTAAAAAACTTGCAGCAGTGTTTCCATTTCTAGCTCTTAAAATTTTTAAAAAGCAGCTTTTGTAATGGATTTGGTAGATGAATTAAATGATAAAAGACTTTGACCTAAAGGCGCGAACAAATGCTGTTGCTATAGTAAGAAAGCATAATGATTTCTAAAAGTTACTGAATTGCACATTTTTCTTACCTGTAAGATCTCTGAGAGGTACATGCGCCGCTCATCATTAGCTTTGTGGTAAGCCTACAGTTAAAAAAAGGGGTATAGGCTAACATTAAGCAAAATATTTCAAAAGTTCAATCATATGCAAAAAGACAAATATACAGCAGAGCTTTTTTCCAGTGACATATTTTGTGGAACTATTGTATTGTGTGCTCCACACACGTCTATTCGTCAGACAACATAATGGTTTTTATAGATTAGAGGCATACAGTGATCACAAACCTTTGCTTCTTGTTCCAGTCTAAGCTCATAGTCTTTTAGTTGATTCTGGAGACTTTTCTTCTCTTCTTCGAGCTGTTTAAGAACCTCCTTTAAGGAACCCTGTGGTTATAGTAAGTAACACAGTGTTTGACAAGTATTTCCATTCCATATAAAGATATAATCACCATAATCCCTATTCTTCAAGTATTATGATGTTTGTCATTCTATTTGCTTCTTGTGCACTTTTTGTTTACATAGTTCTGGCTGGCACTCTGCAGAGACAAAAGCAATTAACTATATGCTACAATTACCAGTTATGCACTACACATTATCACTGTGTTAAAATGATACAGCTATGGTTTTCCACACAGGTGCTCCTTGATAGATTAGCAAAGTGACCTTGTGGTGACCAGCCAGAACTGCTCCTTACTTCTAACCAAAGTTCACTCCGATGGCTACTTTTTGGTAAGAAGAAGATTTCAGATCTCACCTGCACATCCATTTTCAAATCACTTGCCAAGAAAGCTGCTGGACTGGCTAAAGAAGCACATGGGATGTCAAAGATAACCTGTAACAACTTGGAGAGAAAGCAGTAGTTGGTGGGGAGACTATCTGTTTTAGGTATGTAGCCATTTACCTTGTCTACAATTGCGATGAGCTGGAGTAACAGTGGTACAGGCCGTTTTTGGTTACTGGCACTAGCCAGTTCTTTGTTTGCTGTGTAGTGGAAGTAGAACATGCACCCAAGCAGGTCCTTCTCCGTTTCTAACACAGGAAACTGCTTCCTGTAATCCCTTTCATAAATTGATCCACTCCATCCAGTAGAGACATTCTTATTGAGAGGTTCTAATAGTAGATGGCTTTTTAAAATTCCTTGCCTCAGATTATTCAAGGTCAGTTTATATCTGTTTGTTCTTGTATTGAAAGCATTTTTAAGATCACTGTTCTTCCTCCCTGGCGTTTTCCCCCAGCATGTATAGACAGAAGACAGGAATATCTTTTTTCAACATTAATTTTACTAGAATAAATAAGCTGAACTTTTAAAAATGGCCTTTTACACAGCAGGCTGGCCTTTCATCTATTCATCATAGTAACCCCTTTGGACACCAGCCTGGAGCTCAACTTTCTTATAGTCGGAGAACAGAACTGTACCAGAGCATGCACTACTCCAGAAGCCATCTCACTGCCTTGAACAATGTCAATAATACTTCTTTATATGTATAGAGAAATTTAAGATTGCATTTTCCTTTTTCATAGCTGCACAGTGATGGCTCACAGTCAAGGGATCAGCTAGAACACTGAGATTCTCCCCTGCATCTGTGTCCACGTGATCAGCTCTCAATTCGTAACAGAATTTGTTTATTGTTTTCTAAATCATTTGGTCTACACTATTAAATTTGATTCCCATTTTTAATATTTTAGTCTTCAGTGTCATTCTTTTTCTAAACAATATCCAGATCCCAATTATATTACATAATTGGTATCAGAAAAAGATATCATAATCTGTTTCTACTTTGTGTACCAAAGTCATGTATTAAATGTTAAGATTAGCCCTAAACCTGGTTCTGAAAGAACTCTCCTTGCACTCTCCCAGCAGCCTCTTTCACTAGTCACTGCTATTATGTTCCATTTGCCAGCACTACTTCTTTAACAAATCAACTAATTTTCATTTTCTCCAGATTAATCAGTTGGTTCCCATGTGACACGGTATCTTTATCAGAGGTCAGAGTGAACAAGATTATTATATTTATTGTGACAACAAATCTATTGTCTCATCACAGACTGTCAACAGATTTGTCCACTGTGAGCCACTTTTAATAAATCTGTATTTCAGTCTGGATTCACAATAATTATTCCTCTCCTTCTCTATCTTAAAACTAAAGGAAAAGATGTGATTTTCTCCAACATGCACAATGCCGTCATCCACAGCTTTATTACAACCTCTTGCTATCAGATCAGTGATGTAGCAAGCCAGTTCTTTCAGAATCCTAAGGTACAGATTACCCATATCCCTCAATTTAAGCATATCCCGCTCCCTGAGTTTTCCTTAGGATTTGGTTACTGTCATTTCCTCTTCCAGGCACTTACTGATATTAGCTATTTCTTCCGTTGTCCTGCATTTTATTGTTTCTGTCTTTACTGAAAACTTAGGCAATATATACATGTTTAATTTAAAACTAATTAATTCATGATCACTTGATCTGCCAGGTTTTTTTGACTGGCTTTTCTGCAGTGTTCTAGATTTTCAAAATCTAAATCAGCATTCCCTCCATTTTATCCAGTATTTTCTGATAAAATGTGTTAACTATCACATCCACCGTGCTTCATCATTATTACTAGCACTTGGGTTTTAGTCTTTATTTACAAGTATCACATATGATGTCATTTCTGGAAGTAATATTATATCCAAAGAAGTAATATTATATCCAAATCCATCCATCCAAATTTTATATTTATATCTGTACTTGACTGCATGGATGGGATTCAGTCTGAGGTGAGGATATCTACATTTGAGTGTCCATATGTGAACTAAGCTCCTACTAAGAGTCGCAGTCAGTACAATCAATGATGAGCAGCAAGTCATTCAGCTGAGCAGCTAAAGAGCTCAACTCAGTTGCCATCTGAGATGCCCCAGAGGGTCCGAAACATTAATATGTGGCAGATATGACGTGTGTCACAGGAGAAATAGGTCGTTCTGGAGCAGCAGTAGGCTACTCGGCACTGAAACATCTGTAAGTCTCTTTGTTTACACAACTATTCCACTGAAGATGCCTACTTAGATAAATCTAGCTACAAATCTCTGTAGTCAGTTGACTGCATTATTGAGATCTGCACTGCCTGGAGTACGAATTAAAGATCTAGCCAAGAGGTAGTCTTCCATATATAGAAAAGAAAATATTGCTGTCCTAATATTTAAGTGAGTCATATTGTTTCAATATATATCTCAATGTTATTTCCAAATATTATTGTGACTAAAATTTGTTTTCCTATCCATCCTCAAGATTAATTAGTCCAAACAGATGATGAAGAAAGAACGAACAACATTAATGCGAAATCTCTCACATCTACTACATATCACATCTATCTTTGTTTTGACCATTTCTGCCAGGTGCATACCTTCAATACTTGTTATCCTTTCATGTTTTCAATATCAGTGTTATTACATTTCAGGGTAGTCAGGTTCTTCCATTTGTCTGCTTTGGCCTCCTATGTAAAATAAGTACCCATTTCAGAATTTTTGTTTCTTTTTATTTCTAACTGAAGCATCTCCCTAGCCAGAACAGCTGAATCCTTTCACTTTCAGTACTGATTACTTGACCATTGCCTTAATAATCAGTTACTTCTTCTCGTGATCTTTATTTACCTATGCCTTTATTTACCAGATTTTCCTGCTAAACATGGAAGATAATATGACTTTCTCCAAATATTCTCCCCTTCTCTTTTGTGGAAATTAAATTTTTTTTTTCCCTATTTATCATGCAAATCTCAGATCCAGCAGGCCAGTATCCATATATGGTCTATTTCTCAGAGTTTATGAATGCTTGCTAATGGTAAAAAAGTCCCAAACCTAATTTAAGCCTTAAGGGATCAATACTGGGTCTGGTCCTGTTTAACATCTTAATTAATTATCTGGATGATGGGGCAGAGTGTCCCCTGAGGAAGGTTACAGATGACACCAAATTGGGAGGAATGGCTGATATGTCAGAGGGTTGTGCTGCCATCCAGAGAGATATCAACAGGCTGGAAAACGGGGTCACAGGAACCTCATGAAGTTGAACAAGAAGTCCAAAGTATTGCACTTGGGGAGGAGGAATCTCATGAACTGATAGATGCTGGAGGTTGCCCAGATGGAAAGCAGCATGGTAGAAAAAGACTTGGGGATCCTGGTGGACAACAAGTTGTACATTAGCCCACAGTGTGCCCTTGTTGCTAAGAAGGTCAATGTTATCCTAGGCTGCATTAGGCAAAGCATTGCCAGCAGGTCGTTGAGGAAGGTTATCTTTCCCCTCTGCTCAGCACTGGGGAGGCCACACGTGGAGTGCTGTGTCCAGTGCCGGCTTCCCCAGTACAACAGAGACATGGACATATTGGAGAGACCACAAAGATGATGATGGGACTGGGTCACCTCCCCTGTGAGGAGAGGCTGAAAGAGCTGAGAATGTTCTGCCAAGGGAAGAGAATGCTGAAGGGGGATCTTATTAAGGTATATAATTACCTGGAGGGAGGGTGCAGAGAGGGTAGCCAGGCTGTCTTCAGTGGTGCCTAGTGACAGGTCACGAGGCAAGGGGCACCAGCTGAAACAGAGGAGGTTCCCTCTGAACATGAGGAAACACTTTTTTACTGTGAGAGTGACTGAGCACTGGAATAAGTTGCCCAGGGAGGTTGTGGAGTCACCCTCCTTAGAGAGATTAAAAAAACATCTGGGCATGATACTGGGCAACTGACTCTGGGTGGTCCTACTTAAGCAGCGGGGGTGGACAAGACAACCTCCAGAGGTCTCTTCTAACCTCAACAATTCTCTCATTCTGTGACCTTCATTTTATTGTTACAACTGTGTTTTTCATCTCTTGGTCAGTACTTTAGTCAGACCAGTTCAGCCTCCACTTTTTAGGGAATCCATCCAGTTTAGCAAGTCTTCTATGGTCTGTTCCAGAGTGAACTTGAAAATGCCATTTGTCATTACACGAAAGATTATGTCACTCTTACAAGAGCATTTTTATCTCAGGTCCATAACTTATACCTTTGACTTTGGACATCATCAAGCCGTTCTATCTTCTGAATGTGTAAAGTGATAATCCTGCCAATGGTTTCTAACAGATAGCCATCAAACATATACATCTGCCTCTTACATTCTCCTGTTTGAAATCTCCAGCCTTCTCCTTTCTAGCATCTGCATATCACTGCATCTTTTATTCTTTTTCACAATTTTCTGTACAACACATTACTTATTTGGCTCCAAATTTTATTTTTCACAAAAACATTTCTGGCTGTTACTGAGATTTCCCTAGGAATGATTCCCACTAAAGTCAAGATTTAACAGAAGCATGGAAAAAGGCAAAAAGGCACAGCACTTTTAGAAGATTTTGCCAGGAGAGAATAACCCATCTCACTGTCCAAAA